ATAGATATAGATATAGATATATGGAGCTCTGGTAGTGTAGTGGTTAGGAGTTGGGCTGCTAACCTCAAGCTCAACAGTTTGAAACTACCAGCCATTCCACAGGAGAAAGATGAGGCTTTCTGTTCTCATAAAGAGTTACAGCCTCGAAAACCCTATACAAGTTCACTATGAGTTGGAACCGACTCCCCGGCATGCACCCATCACCATATATATATATATAGATAGATAATTTGAATTTTTAGAAACTTTAGCTGTGCTGTCAACATTGGAAAAAGTATCCCAGTTGTATTGTGTTGAGTTGGCATTGTACAGAAATTAACAGCTATACTGGTCTAGAAATGTTCGTTTCTTTTCCAATTCGTACAGAGATAACGCACTGTATTAAATATGTAAGATCTTATCTACATGGGGTTGATTACAGAAACTAACGAATTATTTGCTATATAATGAAGAAAAAAAAAAAAAGAAAGCAAACAATGTATTGCATTAGGCAAATCTGTTGCACACAATCTTTTAAAAGTGTTCAAGAGCAAAGATGTCAGTTTGAGGACTAAGGTACGCCTGACCCAAGCCATGGTATTTTCAATTGCCTCATATACATGTGAAAGTTGGGCAACGAATAAGGAAGACCTTAGAAGAACTGATGCATTTGAGTTGTGATGGTGGAGAAGAATATTCAAAGAACCATAGACTGCTAGAAAAACAAACAAATCTGTGTTAGAAGTAGTCAGAATGCTCCTTGTTAGTCAGGATGGCAAGAGTTCATGTCTCATACCTTGGACATGGTATCAGAAGGAACCAGTCCCTGGAGAAGGATATTATGTTTGGTAAAATGGAGGGTCAGCGAATAAGAGTGGGGTAAGATTCAGACATGAGACGAGGGGCAGTACATGAGAACACTGGGCCGGGAGGAGAAGGGGCCATGTAGTTAGGAGACAGACAAACCTTTCAAACCTTTCATGCTTTACAACAGCAGACCATTGCGGGGTTGGGGCTCAGTTGTGGCACACAACTGGCAAAGGCTAGAGGTATTCTCCACATGGTCCAGGCCTGGAGGACAAGGGGCCACTCACCTCATCATCTGACTGCAGATACATGTGCGCAAACTCCAGTAGCTCCTGCAGCTCAGCAGTCTGGTTGTGGTAGAGCACGGCCTCCTGGGAAGAGCAAAAGCATAAGAAGCTGTCTAGCCCTGCTGCCAGAGCAGGGGAGAAGACGGTGGGGGGCTTTCAGGGTCTCCTTTCCCTTTCCAGCTCAAGGAACAGGGTACACTTTCAGCTCACATGCTAGTTGGCTCACTGTAGTGTCGGAAGTTCTAGGTTGAGGGTTCTGAGAGCTCAATGAGCAACAGAGCCCCAGCTGAATGGCAATGTCTCCCACTGACAAGGAAAATGGGAGTGGCAGCATGCACCCCATTTTTGCTAGCCTTGCCCTGGAGTCCAGGGGCTTTCCCCAGTTGGCCCAGCTAAGGGTCCCCTGGGGAAGAAGTGCAAAGGCCAGAGGTGAGGGTGATGAGGGTGGGGAAGGTAAAGCAGGAGAGGACATTGATTGGTCCTCCATGTCCTCAGGCACTGAGCTGGTGAGGTAGTTAGTAGAAAGCCTGCTCTGCAGATTGGCAATAAATTCAAAGGAGGTCAATGACACTCCCAGGCCCATCTAGCTAGTGGAGCTGGGATTTGAATCCAGACTCTTTCCTGTTTCCGTCCAGCCTTCCAAGGAGGCAGTGCCTACCTCCCGAGGCTGGAAGTCCTCCTCCTCCAGCCCCCAGCGTGCCCGGTGGAAACGGTAATACACCAGGTTCTGCTGCATGACACTGTCTTCAGGGTCGAAGAGCATATAGCTGGCAGCGCTGTGGGCAGCCTGGCGCACGTCATTCACTGCAGGTGGGGCAGGACAGGGGTGAGAAGTATCCCAATCACTTTCTTGTATTTAGGGACAAACCCACCAAGCACCTCAACGCACTTCTCAATTCAGTCTAGTGTTCCTCACCCCACTGAATAATAATAATGCAAACTAATGTGTACTGGCCACATGCTGTGCAGACTCTGTGTAACTCATATAAGGAGCAGTGGGTTAAGCGTTGGCTGTAATGGCAAGATTGTGAGTTCAAACCTGTCAGCCACTCTCCAGGAGAAAGATGATAGTCTATTCCCATAAAACGGACAGTCTCAGAAGCCCTGTGGAACCGTTCTGCTTTGTCCTATAGGGTCCTAACAGTCCAAATCAACTTGATGACCATGAGTTTGAGTTTGGTATTATCCGCATACTTGGAGATATCGCGAGTTCAGTTCCAGACCACCACAACAAAGCAATGCATTGACTCACACAATTTTTGTGGTTTCCCAGTGCATATAAAAGTTCTGTTTACACTATACTATGTAAATATGTAACAGCATTATGAAAAGGTGTGAAATACTGTAACAATGACCAAAATGTGACAGAAACATAAGTCAGCGTATGCTTTTGTAACTATGACAGCAATAGATTTGATTCAGGACTGACACACAGCATCTGTGAAGCCCAATAAACAAAGTGTAATAAACAAGGTATGCCTGTATTCTTATTCCCATTTTACAGAGAAGCCTGAGGCTCAAAGAGGTTAGATAGCCTGCTCAAGGCCAGATAATTGGAAGAGATGGCTCTAGGAATTAGAACCCAGTAGCCCAACTCTCAACCTCTCTGTCATCTGACACCATGATGATCTCCCTGGCCCCCTGCTCCTCAGCCCCTCCACTCTAACTCCAACCTCTACATGAACTTTGGCCTTTCCAGGAACCTTGGAGACTGTCCACCCCAGATCTCAGTGGATGCCAGAATCTTCCTCCAATGAGGAGACCCACAATCTGGACCTCAATTCCTGGTGCTATTTTTTATAAGCCATGTAATTTGTGGCCAACCCCTTGCCTACTATAAGCCTCAATTTTCTCACCTGAAAAATGAGTCTAGTTTTTCTAATGCCAGCTGCAAGAGGTTGGTGAGAGAATCAAGTGAGATACGAAAATGTGGCAGAACTTTGTAAACATCCCAATGCTGTGTCCTTTAATTCTCTTACGATATCCCTCCATCCTCAACTCTTCTCTCCCATCACCCAGGGTCCTCAGTTCTGAGGGAAAGCACCCCATAACTCTATAATGCCCCCAAAACAGTCCTCTCCCTCTCCCCTCTCCCCTGTCCATGCCCACCAGGAGGCTTACACTTATAGTAAGCAAACTGCAGATAGTGGTACATGGTGGCCACGAACTTTTCCACGAAGTAGCCGCCCACGTTGGGGGTCAGATTGGCCTCACAGTCCACCTTGCATTGTAGGGATTCTGCAAAGAGATCTGGGGGTGGGAAGCAGCAGTAAGGAGCAGGAATGCTTAACAACTTGATCCCATTGATGGAACTTAACTTCAGATACCAGCTTTGCTTCCTGATCCTCATTTTCTTTGTCTAGGAAATGGGTTGTTACCATGAAATGATGCAACATGCATAAAGTGCTTGACATTTGGTAAGTGATACGGAGGCTCCTTTCGGTGGGTGGGTGGGTCCCATCTCCTGGGCTGAGACCATCTCTTGCTTCACCATAAAGCCAAAAGGAGCCAGATTGTGGGGGGCTCTAGGAGGGTGGTAGGGGAGTTTCAGACTAAACTGAAGCCAGGCAGAGAAGATGAGGAAGCTTTGAGGGACTCCAGGGTTACAGATCCTGAGGCTAGCTGTTTCTGGCTGCACTGACCAACTGCTTTCTCCACACCTGCTGGGCTGTTGCCCACCTGCAGAGCCCTCTGCTGAAAGGCCCACCAGTCTACCCTTCCCAGATCCTTTTGGAATGTCAACACGGCTCAGTGCTGGTGCCACAGCTTGGACACTCGCTACTGTAGCCCTTGGCACTCAAAGTGTCAGGGTGGCTACCCCCATCTGTATTAGCAGACTGGGGATTCTGGGAAGCAGAACCCATTCGGCCTCCCCCTTGATGTCTGACAGAGTTATCCGGCTTTATGGGTAGTTCCGCCTCTGGCAGGCTCCACAGTCCAGGGGGCTACCTGCAATGGCTGGGTAGAAGTCCTTAAAGTCCACCTGTTCATGGGCCCCCTCACAGCCAGCCAGACACCTGGCAAAAACGGCCAGGTACTCGGCTAGGGCGCGCTCCATGTCCTCGATGCTACTACGGAAGTCTCCGCTATTGTAGAGTTTCACAGCCCGGAGGAACACGGCCTGGGGATAGGGGAACAAGGAGGGTCAGGGGGGCCTCCGACCCTTCCCTCTACTACAAGTGGGGGCCAGGGAGGAACGTGCGGACCAGCCCAGCTCTCCAGGCCCTCGGCCCCACCTCGTAAGGCTGAGCCTCCAGGTCCGTGAGGGGCTCCTCCGCTGCATCGAGCAGCCCCCGGTAGTAGTTGAGATATTTGGCGGTTAGCTCGTGCTTCGGATTCCGCTGGAGGAAGGTGTAGGCCGCGGACACTGCCTTCTCCAGCCGGTTAGCCTAGGGGAACGAGGGAATCAGTATAGCCAGAGCCCGCATCCCTAAGTACACAGGGGACTTCGGGCTCTGGGTGAGGGCAGAGCGTCTCCCACCGGGTCCGAACACCCAACCCAAGGGGGGCGGCGGGCGCCCACCTTGAAGAGCGCGTAGTGCAGATACTGGTAGGGCAGGCGACTCTGGAAGTCGCGCAGCAGCTGTCGCGGCGGGTAGGGCACCTGGAAGGCGGGCAGCGTCCGCTTGCAGCGCCGCAGGCAGGCGGCGCGCTCCAGGACGTGGCCGAAGAGCCGCAACTCGCGGGCCCACTCGTCTCCGCGGCCGGCGTCGGGGCTGGGCGCGGGGTGCGAGGCCTGGGGCGGCGCGGGGCCGCTGCAGTTGGCGTGGCAGAAGGCCTCGCTGTCCCGCAGCAGCCTGTGCAGCCGCAGCGCCGCCTCCAGGTAGCGCGCGCTCTCGCGCCAGCTCTCGCCCTCGTATTGCTCCAGCGCGTGCCCGTAGGCCGCGGCTAGCGGCATCAGGTCCTCGGGTGGGAAGCCTCGGAAGCTGTACTTCTCGTACTGCGCCCCGGCGCTGCCCAGCAGCAGCCACAGCAGCCCGTACGCCGCCCACCCCATGCCCCCGCCGAGCCGCGGGCCCTCGGAGCCCGAGCAGGCGGCCCGCCAGGCCGGAGGGCGCGGGGCCCGACGTCCGCTGGGTCTTAGCGCCGAATTCTGAAGGTGGGGGAAACGAGGAACGGGGGGAGGGTGGCGAATCGCCTGGATCAGGTCCCCAGAGGGGCAAAGGCTGCTTGTCCCCTCTTCTGGGGAAGTTTCACTGATGTCCTGAGTCCCTACATTGGCCCGAGCTTTGGGGATCTGGAGGCTTCGTGATAGATGATGGGGGAACGTTTCACCCCAGGGACGGAGAGCCCAGAAATCCCCTCCCTACACAGACACTCCCCCAACGGTAAGAATAAGAAGGAGCTGCCACGTTCCCCTCTCCTCCCAAGCTGTGGGTGAAGCCCAGCCCAGGAACCCGGTCTCCCCCACAGCACCCCTTTTGCCTGCTCCCCACTCGCGTCCCTACGAGATCCCCCCAGGTCCCCGCGGCCCACGTCGGCGAGGCTCCCACCTCGTTTGCCCCGCACACCCTCCGTTGTCACTGAGTCTCCGTCCCCAGCTCACAGTGCTCGCAAGTCAGTTTCTAAAGCGGGACAGAGCTGCTTCTCTCTGGAGAAACCTTCCCTGGAGGTAGGGTCCAGTAAGGGTCGGGGAAGCATTGAGGGACCCTTCGGATTCTGAGGCCTCAACGCCCACATGGAGAGGCCTAGATGTGGGGATTCCAGCAAAGGAAGCAAGGGATGCCTCGGCCTGGCTTTAGGACCCGGGCGCTCCGGAAAAAGACACTGAAAGTTTTTTTTGTTGTTTTTTAAACATTTTTTTCTCCTGGAGTTAGTTCAGTCTTCTCATCTTTCCGAAACCTTCCTCCCCGACCGGGCCCCAGGTCTCTCGGCCCCGGGTGGGTATGGAGGTGGGGGACCCAGAGTTCTTTGTGGTGCATTCCTCCGTCTCTAACCGCTCAGCCTCGCCCCCTCCTCCCACTACCCATCTCCACGACCAACACTCCCGCGGCCCAGAGGACTCAACGTCCCCAGCCCCCATTCCACGTGGACCGGCCTGGGCGGAGGTGGGGAGGAGGACAGGAAGAGGGGGAGCTAACTCTGGAAGGAGGGGGAAGGAGGTTGGCCGTGGCGGCTCCCTAGCACGTCCTCACTGCCGACTATCCCAGCTCCAGGCACTATGTCCCCCACGGGCCCCCCCAGCCACACCCTCCGCCGGCTCCCCTTGCTGCAGTTGCTGCTGCTGCTGGTGCAGGCCGTGGGGAGGGGGCTGGGTCGTGCCAGCCCGGCCGGGGGCCCCCTGGAAGATGTGGTCATCGAGAGGTACCACATCCCCAGGGCCTGTCCTCGGGAGGTGCAGATGGGGGACTTTGTGCGGTACCACTACAACGGCACATTCGAGGACGGCAAAAAGTTTGACTCGAGGTAATGGCTGGGCATTCCAGACTGGCCACTTCCCTGAGCCCCTGGCCAGGTGCTGTGGATCCTAGGGCCCTCTATTGCTCTATTGCCCCCTTTATGCTTTGAACCAGCCTCTCACTCCTAGATCCCTTAACACTCCACCCAGAACCTCGGGGGTGGGGGTGGGGGGCTCCTAGACACCCATCTCCCCAAAGGCATCTCCCTCTCCCAGTTAAAAAACCTTCATCTCTCAAACGGCCCCAGTTACTTTCACAATGAACCCTGCGCATCCCAGAGTCTTGATAATCAAGCTGAACTGCTCTGGTCACCTACAGTTGCTTACTTTAAAGGCATGGTGGGGACCTAGGGGTTGTGTTGGGGGAAGGGGATGGTACCTGTTGCATGGAAAACCTTAGGTAGTCTGAGTCTGGTACTCCCTACCAGTTGCTGCCCCAGGTTTCTGTACTTTAGCTAGGGGAGAGGAGGGAAGAACTTTGGAGGGGTGGAGGTTTATCAGCAGCCAGTGGGGACAAAGGAGACCATTATATTATAGTAAGACTGTAGGATGGATCTGGAGGGTGAGGCATCGCTGAGTGTAAAGGCCCATCTGTCTACGTGTCATACAATTGGACATGATACTCTGGGTTCTTCAAAGGGTTTTCATGCCTCCTGGTCCTGCAGGCCCTCTGCCCTGCCACCCCTCCCTCTCTCCCTCCATCTTAGCTCTGACAGGCCAGTGCCGCCCAACTTGGGGTTTGACAAGCAGGACCTCTGGTTTGCTCCAAGCTTCTGATCCCCTCCTTTGAGTCCACTTTTGTTGGTGCAGGGAGGACAGAGCTGTGCACCAGTCTCAGGTGTAAACTTGGGTCCCCATCATACATGCAAACCCCATATTATACCCAAAGCAGTCAGTACCTTCTTAGATCCTTCTCCAAAACACGGCTTAGCCACGGGAAATAAAATTAGTTGGCATGACTTTAGAGACAAGCAGCATATTGGGAAAGAACATGAACTCCAAAGGCCAGGACGCTGGATTCAACCCATTCTATGATTGTGGACAAGTATTTTGCCCCATTAAGCTTAATTTTCCTCATCTAAAAAAATGGAGACTAATGTTAGAACTCACACAAGATGAATCAATGAATGTAATCACCCAAAAACTGAAAATTACTCCAATACTCATTAACAGTTGAATGGAAAACTAAGTGGTGGTAGGTTCATAAATGGCAATGAGAATGAATCGTCTGCTATGAAATGTGGCCACTTAAATGAATCCCACAAACAGAACCCTGAGTGAAAGGAACTAGAAGCCCAAGATTACATACTATTTGCTTTCATTTAAAAACAGACAAAAACGAAAGAAGTTAAGATGATGCTTACCTTTGGAAGGAGACTGTGGGTAGAAGAAGATTAATAATTTTTTAAAAAGATGATGAGTGAAAGAGAAATCATAATTTAACAGACCACATATGAGCTGTGTGACCTTGGACAAGTCACTTCATTTCTCAAATCTTTATTAGTTCTCATAAGAAAAATGAAAACAATATGTCTTAATCTTGGGAAAGGATTAAATAAGATCATGAATGTAAAATGACAAGCATGTAATTTGAGATATATTGTAAATGTACCTCTTCCCTCCCATGCTGGATTTACCACCCCTCAGCTCTCAAGAAATAGTAGCAGCAGATAGGCCTGCCTGACTTTATTACAAGGTGGGAAAAGCCTCTGGCCTTCTCAGGGGTTCCTCTTGGTATAACAGCCCATCATCTTATAGATGGGGATATCATGGTCGACCTGGGAAGGAGGTGTGAATTGGTCAGAAGTATGTGGACACACACCTGATGGAGGGAGCTTGTGTGTGTGTGTCTTTGAATCTATGGACCGTGGCAGAGGGAAGTATATCATAACTGCACACCTCTTCCCTACCCCAGCTATGACCGAAGTACTTTGGTGGCCATTGTGGTGGGCGTGGGACGCCTCATCACTGGCATGGATCGAGGCCTCATGGGCATGTGTGTCAACGAGCGGCGGCGTCTCATTGTGCCTCCCCACCTGGGCTATGGCAGCATCGGTGTGGGTAAGCAGGGCTGCACTGCAGGGAGGAGCAGATGAACACAGAGTGTGGATGAAAGATACCAGGGTGCAGAATTAGGGACCCCTGGGTCAGCAAATTGGAACTCAGTGAAGGTGAGTGACTTGCCCAAGGTCATGCTGCACAATATGAATAATGGCAGACTGGGACAAGAGTTTAGGTCTCCTGCTTTGGGGATTAAGGAGACCTGGTGGCACCATGAGTTAAGCATTAGACTGCTAACTGAAAGGCTAGTGGTTCAAGCCCACCAGCCATCGTATGAGAGAAAGATGGGGCTGTCTGCTTCTGTAAAGATTTACAGCCTCAGAAACCCTGTGGCGGTTCTACTCTGTCCTTAAGAGTTGGAATTGACCCCATGGCGATGGGAAGAGAGGAGAATTTTGGGGACTGAAGAAGAGGAATAAGAGAGCCATGCGTGGCACAAGTGGTTTCTGACCATCTGCTAAGCTAATGATGGGCGGTTTGAGCCCACCCCGCAGTGCAGTGGGAAGGCGGGCTGGCAGTCTGCTTGGGTAAAGATTACAGCCAAGAAAACCCTGTGGAGACTTTTCACTCAACACATGGGCTTATCAGAGGGTTTGGGTGGGCTCATCACTTGGGAAAGGACAACTGCAGGAGGTGGGGAGGATGGCAAAGCAGGACTCTCAGACTTCTGCTCCTCTTCACAGCGGGGCTAATCCCCCCAGATGCCACCCTCTACTTCGACGTGGTCCTACTGGACGTGTGGAACAAGGAGGACACTGTGCAGGTGAGCACCTTGCTGCGGCCTACTCACTGCCCCCGCATGGTCCAGGACAGTGATTTTGTCCGTTACCACTACAATGGCACACTGTTGGATGGCACCGCCTTCGACTCCAGGTAAGGGCTTGAGAGGACTCCTGAGGACCTGGCACCCATCCTGTTACTCCACCCCCAGCAATACCATCTCTACCTCATTCTCACCAGCTACAGTAGGGGCGGCACTTACGACACCTACGTGGGCTCTGGCTGGCTGATCAAGGGCATGGACCAGGGGCTGCTGAGCATGTGTCCTGGAGAGAGAAGGAAGGTCATCATCCCTCCATTCCTGGCCTATGGCGAAAAAGGCTATGGTGAGAGTGGGCAGGGACTGAAGGCGTGACAGGGGGTGCTCTCCCGAACAGGGAAAACCAGAGCTGCCATATACCATTGTCCAGGTTGTGTACTGTCCAAGGACATCCAGCCTAGGAGGCAAGTAGGGGTGAGATGTAGCCCTTGGTGATCTCCTAGCTAAGAAGAGGTGCTTTGTTCTGATTTACACAAAGGCTCAGTATGAGCTGAAAGTGGCCCTGAGGCAAACCCAGCTCAGGTCTCAGGTGGGGAGCAAGAAACGGGGGCTGCTGACGCCAGGGGGAAAGGCTTCCCTGAGCTGAGGATAGTTCAAGCCCTGTCTTTTCCCCAGGGACTGTGATCCCTCCACAGGCATCCCTGGTCTTCCATGTTCTGCTGATTGACGTCCACAACCCAAAGGACACTGTCCAACTAGAGACGCTGGAGCTACCCCCTGGCTGTGTCCGGAGAGCTGTGGCTGGGGACTTCATGCGTTATCATTACAACGGCTCATTGATGGATGGCACCCGCTTTGATTCTAGGTCAGGAGGGTCCTATGGAGGTGGAAGGGGGCTGGGGGCGGGGACAGGCAGAAAACACCTAGGCAGGTACTGGCACAAATGGTTTGGATCTTGCTTATTAATGAAGAGTGGGGAGGTGGCTGTTGGTAACCTATCCAGAGACCTTGGAAGAAAAGTCTGGCGATGTACTTCTGAAAGGTCGTAGCTATTGAAAACCCTGTGGAACACAGTTCTCCTCTGCACATAGGAGGTGTCCATGAGTTGGAAGTCACTCAGTGGCAGCTGGTGTGATTTTCTTGGTTTGGGGTCACCCCAGGTAGCCGCTGCTGGGTGGCTTTGAGATGCCTGGATCGGGGAGGGGCCCCTTTGACCCCTGGCCCTGGTCCTCCCCGCCTTGTATTGCAGCTACTCCCGCAACCACACCTACAATACCTATATCGGGCAGGGTTACATCATCTCTGGGATGGACCAAGGGCTACAGGGCGCCTGTATGGGGGAGCGTCGGAGGATCACCATCCCCCCCCACCTGGCCTATGGGGAGAATGGAACAGGTAGGCTTGTTCTGGACACCACTACATCACTCACTCATAAGAGAATATACATTCTACATCAATTCAACCCTCCCCCCCCCCACCAAATCCCTGCCTCTGGTCCATTCCGTCTTCTCCGGGCAGTCCCATCCTGCCGCTCTAGCTCTCCCCTTCCCTAGTGGGTTAAGTGTTGGACTGCTAACCAAAATGTTGGTGGTTCAAACCCACCTACTGTACTGCAGGAGAAAGATAAGACTGTCTACTCCCATAGAGATTTACAGTCTCAGAAACTCAAGGGAACACTTGTCCTCTGTCGAGTCACTATGAGTCTGTGGGTTTGTTTTTTTTTTATACTGAGGAGGACCTCTAACTCCTGGGTAGGTGGGTGAGGATGAAAGTGGAAGAACAGAAGTGGCATCATGGCCCTTGGAAGCAGAGACCTAGCTCTGAGATCAGCTTTGATAGCACCTCTGTTCCTCATCTGTAAAATGGGACTAATCATATTAATGAGCAGTTATGGGGATTAGCAAGAAGAGCATAAAAGGGCTTTCTACACTGGGATGCTCCTTGTGCCACCTGCTCCCCACCACCACAAGAGTAGAGTAGAGCACTGATGGGGTGCACCAACATCCCACCCCATCGATGTTTGAGACCCCAAGGTGGGGAAGAGCTTGGAAGCTGGGCAGTCCCTCCTGGGGCTCCAGACTGACCTGCTCCCACATTCTGACCTCAGGAGACAAGATTCCTGGCTCTGCTGTGCTCATCTTCGATGTCCATGTCATTGACTTCCACAACCCTGCAGACTTGGTGGAAATCAAGACACTGTCCCGGCCCCCGGAGACCTGCAATGAGACCTCCAAACTTGGGGACTTTGTTCGATACCATTACAACTGCTCTCTGATGGATGGCACCAAACTGTTCTCCTCGTGGGTCTGGGGCAGGGTCGGGAGTCCTCCAGTGATGAAGCAGTTAGTCGTGCTTCTCCACCTAAGCGAGGAGACAGGAGGCATCACATGAAACTACTCCGCAGGGGACGCGGGGGAGGTGGCACTGGCCTTGTAGAGAGGACTGTTCCGGACATGACACGCTGTGGAGGGGAAATGCAGGCTGAGATGAGACTTCTAGGCCACACTTTAGGGGCAGTGACAGGAGGAAGCTGGGAGTCTCCTTTCTGCCCCGGGACACCTGCCACTGCTGTGTGTGGGGTGGGCATAGGAGGAGGGAGGGACTTGGAAGTGAGGTCTCATCTTGGTCTGCTGGGGGAAGTGAAGGTAGCTGGCAGAGGCCAGGCTGGCACCAACCTGGGAATTGCTTTCTCCCCCAGCCATAACTACGGGAACCCCCAGGAGGCAACACTCGGGGCCAACAAGGTGATCACCGGCCTGGACACGGGCCTGCAGGGCATGTGTGTGGGAGAGAGGCGGCAGCTTGTGGTACCCCCGCACCTGGCCCACGGAGAGAGTGGAGGTAAGAGGGTAGATCTTGGGTTGACTGGCATTCCGTTCAGTTTGCCCTGACCTGTCTCAGACCCAGATAGCCAATGGGACAAGTCAGGAAACCCTTTCAGGATGGTTATCTGAAGCCCTCCTCTCCAGTCCCCAAGAGGGGAGACTGAGGCTTGTGTGTCAGGAGACCCATGAGAAAGGCTGGGCGGTACCAGGACCCTTCCCTTCTCCTTCCTGTAGCCCGAGGGGTTCCTGGAAGTGCTGTCCTGCTGTTTGAGGTGGAGTTGCTGTCCCGGGAGGAGGGGATCCCTGAAGGCTACCTGTTTGTGTGGCATGAGGACCCACCAGCCAACCTGTTTGAAGACATGGACCTCAACAAGGATGGAGAGGTTCCCCCAGAGGAGGTGGGTGAGGAATGCCCCTGCCAGGATGCCCGTTTGCATGATGCTGTTAGCAGTTCATGCCCACTAACCTGCTGCCAACCCTGCTCCCATGTCTCTGCCCCTCTACCGAGTCACAGTGCCTTAGTGTCCTTGACCTGCCTGGGTGCCCACAACCCTCACCCCGCTCCTGTCAGCCCAAGGCCTTAGCAGCAGCTCCTCTCCTCCCAGCCCTGAGTTGGGAGGGGCCGGGGCAGCCTGGAAAAGAAACCACCCCTTTGTCCTCCACAGCTGCTCCCCTGTGACCCCCACTCGCCACTTCCTCTTGCTCTTCCCCTCCAGTTCTCCACCTTCATCAAGGCTCAAGTGAAAGAGGGCAAGGGACGCCTCATGCCTGGGCAGGACCCTGAGAAAACCATAGGTGACATGTTCCAGAACCAGGACCGCAACCAGGATGGCAAGGTCACTGCAGAGGAACTCAAGCTGAAGTCAGATGAAGACCGGGAGCGAGTCCATGAGGAGCTCTGAAAGGCAGGAAGCCTGGGCCTCATCTCAAATGCAGAGGGACAGAGGGCAGTGGGGCTGACCTACAAACAGTCACTCCCCTCTGCTCAGATAAAGTCTGAGAGCCCTCTAAAAGACTGTCAGGAGCCCATCCTGGTCTTCCCAGTCATTCCCCGTTAAATTCCACAACTGATCTCGATTCCACTTATTTCTGTAACACCAAACTCCTTAAAGATTATTGGAGTTAGAAAGCCACTTTGGGGGTTGAATGAAGCCATCCCTAGCCCCTCCCCCACATCCATCCCACTCCCAGACACTTAGGAGGCTGAGCTCATCTATTTCTTTATTCACCCAAACTCTGTCCAAGCTTCCACCCTTCCTTGTTCTCCCTGATTTCTCTCAGTCTCCAGCCTTCATTCCTCTTTTGTAACAGCTCCTCCAGGGCTGGAAAGACTGCCCCTCTCCCTTAGTTCTCGCTGGTTCCTAGGGAGTGGGGTAGCTCCAGGAGGGCAACCCTACCTCACCCTCTCTCACTCCCCCAGTAGAGACTGCAGTGGCCCCGGGGCTGCTGCTGCTGGAAGACAGGAGACAGGGCTGTCTTCATGGGGCCTTTCATCCCTAACAAAGGCTCCTTTCTTGAAGATTCTATGGAAGAGGCAGAAAAGGCAGGGGAGGTGTGAGAGGAACCCTGCTCAGATGCGCCTTCTCATTGCCTTCCAGTCAGTTCTGAAGACTAGCAACCCTATAGGACAGAGAATTGCCCATTAAGGGTCACAAGGTTGTAAATTTTTAGGGAAGCAGACTGCCACCTGGTTCTTGCATGGAGCTGCTGGTGGGTCCGTCAGACCTTTTGGTGTTTTAGGAAAGCACTTAACCACTGCACCACCAGAGCCCCTTCAGATGGGCTTTATGGGCTATGAAATTGGGAGGCTACATTTGAGAGGCTCATTTGGGGCTGAGGGGTGACACCAGTGCCTTTTCCTTTCTGCCAAATAAAAGATTCAACCAAAGTCCTCAGGATGTGGTCCCTTTTTTTGGAGGGCAGGGGTGGGGCTTTAGCTACACAGATTGGGAAAGAAAGATGAGACATAGCAGGCTGTTTTCAAGAACTCATCACCTGGAGGCAGGGTCCCTGGGTCTGTCTTCTCCCTCAGGAGGTTTCCTGCCTGAAGCCTTAACTGGAACTTCAGTGGGGAAGGGAGCCCAGGTCTGACCAGGAGGGTGAGGGGCTGAGAGTACAGAGGGATGACCCTTGTCCCGGAATCTCCAGTTGAATGGGAAAGATAACCTCCCTGGCTGCAAACACAACATGGTGGTGGTGGTTACGTGCCGTGGAGTTGGTTCTAACTTGTAGCAACCCCACACAGGGTTTCCAAGGCTGTAAATCCTTACGGGAGCAGAAAGCCTCATCTTTCTCTCTCAGAACTGCTGACCTTGAGACAGGTGGAATTACTCCTTTTCACACAGATGGTTTTCAATACAACACTATTCCCCTTTCTTCTGGCCACTGGCTGTTACCTCTCTTACCAGATAGACGATTTGTTGTATAGTACTGCCAAGTCGTTCTAACTCATAGTGACCCTGTGTATAGGGTTTCTAAGGAGTGACTGTTAGGTTTGAACCACCCACCTTGTAGTTACCAGTCAAGTCACACCAGGACTCTAAAATTTCCAGAGTTTAGGGGAGAAGTCAGTTCAGGCACCAGCCTTGCTATCCACCTTTACCTGCCCAACGGATGACCAATACACAGGAGATGATCCGAAGCCTTGCATGAGCAGAGTGGCCTGTGGGCATAAAGCAGGTGCTTAGATGGGAAAACAGACTAGATTCACACTGAACCATCCCCACAAGCAGATTTCTTGCCCAGGGTCCACTGACAATGTAAATGCTCCCCATGGCTACACTCCCTGACCCCAAAGCATCCAGAAATCTCAAGGTCTGACAGCCTCAGATAGTGACCACCAATCAGAATGCCAGAGTTAATGTATTGTTGTTAAGTGCTGTCGAGTTGATTCCAACTCATAGCGACCTGTATAAGGTTTTCAAGGAGCGGCTGGTGAGTTTGAACCATAGACCTTGAGGTTTAAACTGACCTTGGGGGACCAGTGCTTTATCCCATAGTGCCATACCAGGACAGAGTTAATGTGAATAGAGGTAAATACTGTTCACAGATGGTACATGGAGGGGGTTGCAATCATTCTAATTAAACAAAGCACATGATTTGTTGAATATAAAACTGATGATCTGTCCTGTAAACCTTCACTCAATTCACAATAAAAAGTTTGAAAAAAACAAACAGAAACCTGACAGGACAAGTCTGATCTGAAGCTGCTGTTCAATGCGGACTCAGTATGAAGCAGAAGAAAAGACTGTGGTCACAAATACTCCCGTGTACATTCTGGTTCTAGTTCCTAGCTGTGGAGTGTGGGCAAGTTACTCATCTTTTCTGAGCCATCTGCTAACGGAGAACCATTCCTACTTGCGGGCTTATTGTAGGATGAAATGGCAGGCCTCAGAGTGCCCAGAGCAAGCTAGCCCACAGTGACAACAGGCCTGCCTTCTCTGCCCTGCAGACACACACTTTAAAAGCAGCCAGGCCTCTTCTGCAGGAGGATGACGATGGACTTCTCTGGAAGAAGGCAGGCTAAGAAAACACCACGGGAACTGGGTGTTCTCCATGTTTCCTTCAGAAGATGCCCACGAATATTTGCAGGACAAACCGTCTACACGAACCACAGCCTTATCTCCCGTGGGACCAGGACCAGGTGCTGACCATTCAAACCAGAGCTGCAAGAGATGGACCTGGAGAGAATGGGAGAAAATGGAGAAAACCACAATTTCCTAAAACAAAACAAAACCCCCCTAAAAAAACCCCCAGACTTATGAATGAATGAATCCCTGAGACTGTTGCTTTGAGATACTCTTCAAACTTCCACCAAATAGAACCCTGAAGCTCACCTTGAAACTGAATTAACAAATTGGCTCAAAAGATTAATATCACCTGTAAATACTGTGTTCCTTTAAAAAAAATCATCTACACGAGACCAAACAGTCAACAATGACATTAAAACCAAGATGAGAATGTAAGAAGAGGGCAGGGAAATGACAGATTCATGGCTACAGAGCTACCAGAATGGAAATACTGAGAATGTTCACACACTGTGAAGAGCATAGCCAATGCCACTGAGCAACTTGGATAGAAGCTGCTGAATGTGAACCTGAACTGTGATGCAGACCTTTACCAGAAACAGGATTTTAAAAACAGCTGTCCTAGAAAGAACTCAGCTAGTTCTGGATCATCTAAGTCAAGGCTGGGATACTTTTTTTCTGCCAAAATTTCTAACATCATTCACTGGCCATACAAAATTATCAACTTAAAAATCAGCCTGCTGTATCTGGTCAAACACTTTATTAACTCACCTGATGGCTGGAGTCCTGGTGTGATGTTGTGGGTTAATGCATCAGACTGCAAAGTAGTTTGTGGTTCAAGCTCATCAGCTGCTCCTTGGAAACCTTATACAGGATCGCTAGCAATGGCACTTAACAACAATATGATGCCTACGGAGTTCTGGTAGCGTAGTGGTTACAAGTCAGGCTGCTAATCTCAAGGGCAGCAGTTTGAAACTCCCAGCCATACCAATTGATCTGCAGCAGAAAGAGGAGGCTTTCTGCTCCTGTAAAGATTTACAGCCTCGGAAATCCCAGAGGGTCGCAATGAGTAGGAACCAACTCCACAGCACACCACCACCACCAATGGCTGGAGTCCTGGTGTGGTGCTGCGGGTTAACCGCGCCGGACTGCAAAATTGGTTTGAACCATAAGATCAGTGGCTCAAGCTCACTAGCTACTACTCCTCAGAAACCCTATATAGGGTAACTATGGGTCGGAACCAACTCAACGGCACTTAACGTGATAGTTAATGTGATAGTTAAGAGTTCTGGTGTGGGATTGTAGGTTAATGTACTGGACTGCAAAATTGGTTTGAACCACAAGGTCGGCGGTTCAAGCTCACCAGCTGCTCAGAAACCCTATGGGTCAGAACCAGCTGGACAGCAAACAACAACAACGTGGTGATGACTGGAACTGTGGTTGCCTTGGCAGGGCCAGACCAAATGATTTTGAGGATCTTATTGGACCCGTGAGCTGGACATTTGCCACCCCTGATCTAAGTCAACAAGGAGGAAAAGCCAAAGAAAAGGTGAAGCCCAAACAGCATGAGAATCTAGTCACTTGTTTTACTTGGCACACAGAGCCTTCTTCTTCAGACCCCTGGTCACAAACTCTCCTTTAAGGTCATCTGTTTTAGAGGAGCAAGAAGAGCCAAGGGCACGGGAAGAAGTGCACGCCCTCGGGAATCCCTGGACTCTGCAGACAGGATCGCCTCAACACATCTGATTTCAGACTGAATTTCAAGCTTCACGGCTGCCCCAGAACACAAGGGTGAGTCCAAAAGTATTATTACTAGGGTTTTAGTTCATACACGTACAGGTTTATTCCAAACAAAACCTGTTTAAACATGTCTCCAGTCAGATGGCTGCAGGCACGTTCTCTCAGTAATGATACACTTAGTCATGTTAAAGTGCCTTCATAAAAAAGGTCCAAGCAAAGTGGCTTCTCTAACGTTCTCCCATGTAAACGATCACATAATTCACAATAAAACATTAAAAAACAAACAAAACACAAACAGTGGCTTCTGAGAGGAATCTGCTACACAGTTCTATTCAAGGCAGAGAGGTTGGCTCAGACTTCGTCAACTTTTTGCATCTTGATAGATATTTTTCAAAAGACACAGGACGATCATGACTCCATCCACCCTCCAGCCCTGTTGTCCCCTTCAGACTTCTTGTTGTGACCAAGTCAAAGGAACGCTATTTGGGTCCTCAAGGATGCCCAAATTGTTGTTTTGATGTTGTGTACATTGGAGAGTGCAGAATTCTTTGGAAAGGGTTAAGAGAGTTGGAAACACAGCCTTCCTAAGGGAATGCTGAGGAACAATAGCTTCACATTTTGATATTTTTGTTTAATAAATGTGGCTTTGATTTTGAAGCAATATTTTTTGACTTAGTCTCATAGTCACCATTCTAGGTCATCATCTCCAGCCACCCTGATCCCCGCAGACATCCTGGCTAGGTCCAGGCGGTCTCCTGGTGGTTTTCACTGTGTTTTGTGGAGCAAAGAGAAGCCCTAGTTGCACTGTAGGTCAGGCATTGGGCTGCTAACCACAACGTCAGCAGTTCAAACCCAGCAGCAACTCCATGGGCCAACAATGAAGCTGTCTGCTCTCGTACAGACTGGCAGCTTTGGAGACCCTCGGGAACCATTCTGCTCTGTCCTGCAGGGTCACTGTGAGGCAGCACTAACTCAATGGCAGTGGGTACGGGTGAAGCTGAGAGACTTCTTGGAGGTTCCAATGCATCAAGGGTCGGGGGATACCTGGTGCCCCCGCCATTATACAGACACACACTTCCTGGACCATGAGTTCTTTTCTCCATTTTTTATTTCAATCCATTTCACATGTTAGGAGTTGTTTGAAGAACAAGTTCTAGTCTAAAAATCTGGGGGGAAAGGAATCCCTAAACTAAATGATCCCAAGAACGCAGGCATCCTGTAGGTTCACCACTCACCTGGAGCAGCTTCTGCTGCCTTCCCACCTGGAAGGTCTCCCCCAAAAATGAACATAAAGGATGGCAAAGGCGCTGGGAGAAAGGAGGGAGAGAGGAGGGAGGCGGGGTGGGAGGCACACACAGGCGCACCTGCGTCCAGGGTTTTCCTTGGGACACAGAGGCAGAGCAATGTAGGCAACAAGGCAGGCTGCCTCAGGTGAAGAGGAGGTGCACCCTCTCATGGCCCCACCTGCGGGCTAGCCCCAGGCTCTAGGAACCCTGAACGTCTATCTGGTCCCCCTGGCGCAGGATGTCCTGCAGCAGCCCATTGACCACATCCAGCGTCTCGTCCTTCTCCAGCACGATGTCATAGGAGTTCAAGTAGTGCTCCCGGCGCTCCTCCACCTGCTCAGGTGACAGGAGACACTGAGAGGGTCTCACATGACCTGCAGTAGCAGCTTCCAGCTCCCTTTTGAGACTAAGGCTAGATGAAGAGTTCCGAACTACAGGGACCTGCCTTCTGACGACAGGGATGAGTGGAAGGCAGCGACTGCTCGAATTAATTAATCCTTGAGCCCGCATCCAAAGGACAATAACAAAAATGGAAACCCAAGACCCATATGTCACCTCTAGTCTAGGTTGGATGGAGTTTTCACAAGGCTCAAGGGTCCTGGTGGACTCAGTGCTCCCTGAGGGTGAGGACCAACCACCTCCTACTTACCACCCCGGGTGCCGCTTTCTGGTCATAGCATTCTCCCCATATCTCTGGTCTTCCCTAAATTATAAACCCACACCCCAAATAACTGACATCTTCCATCTCAATTGTCTGAAAGACATGATTTAGGAGAACTGGTAGCCAGCCACAGCATTTTCAGACCTGCATAATCCTGGGCAAATCACACCTCCCTGCCTTGGTTTCCTCATGGGGATGACAAAAGTCACTACCTCCAAGAGTGGTCGTAAAGATACACAGTGGGTGCTCAGTACATTCTGGCTGCCATAAAGTATGCAGCATCACCCTTATTCTGACTACACCTTTCCTGGAGCACACAGCTTGCTGTCTTGTCTTTCTCCTGAGGAAACCAGGAATATTGGGAGACAGTGTCTAGCACACTGTTGTGTTGCTTTTGACTCATAGCGACCCTGTCTAGGGTTTCCGAGGAGCGGTGTCCAGTGCATTATCCTGCAGCGCCACACCAGGACTCCGTCTAGCACATAGAAGGTGTTCAGTAAGCATTTATTATAGGGATTGAAGAAGAAAGCCACAAAGAGAGGAAGCCCGTTTCCTACGCACCTTGTCATTTAGGAAGCCAATCTTGAGAATGTTTTCCACACATGGAACCCCGTCAGCCATAGTGAGGTCCCCCATGGAGTCTCCCAGCAGGACAATGTTGGTTTTGTCCTGAAACTGCTGGAAGTAGCTGGAGTTCTCACACACGGAGCTGTTCTTGTTGTAGGTGTGGATGAGCTGGCCCTTGAATCCCTGTAGGAAGCCCTAAACAATCAAGAGAAGAGAGACAAAAGGCATCGACCTAAGGGCACTTTTCTGTGGTCTGTGTCACATAGGAAAGGGAATCCTGAAAACCATTAATAAGGTTACAACTTCACTAGAATATAAATAGTTTGTAAACTATGGCCTGACTTTGTAAAGTTTTACAGGAACACAATCATGCTCATTTGTTTATATATTGTCTGCTGCTGCTGTTGTTAGGTACTGTATAAGGTTTCCAAGGAGTGGCTGGTGGGTTTGAACCACTGACCTTGTGACTTACTCAACAGTGCCACACCAGGACGCCTATGTATTGTCTAGGGCAGTTTTGCACTACAATGGTTAAGAGTAGTTATGACAGAGACGGGATGCCCTGAAAAGCCAAAGGATTTACTATCTGGCCCTTTACAGAAAAACTTTGTCAAACTCTTAAGCTAACAAGACCATCAAATATTGATGATCATCTGGTAAAAGTATAAAGCATGAAATACATGCAGCAGTTTGGGTTACAAGTGTGCTAACCCGAAGCTGCAAGCCACATCCTACCCTCAGGCCAAAGCGATAGAAAGTCTGACCACTGGCTTAAAGGAAATTAGTCAAAAGTAGGCGAGTTAGAGCAGCCCACCTCTGGCTCAAGTCACAGTTCAAGCCCTCGAGTACCCAGGACAGTACCTAACCCATGACAGGGACAGGGGGCTGGGATGCCCCACAAACTAGGTCCCCCAGGCAGAGAATTGGCTGTCTTCCAAATACCAGATACAGGATCTTTCACAACACCCTGTCCTTAGCTGGCAAAAAAACAAAACAAAACAAAATAAAATTAGCTGCCTTGAGGCAAAGAAACCAGCATGCCTTCCTTCTCCCTCAAGCACCCTGGTTTATGGTCCCCACCCCATTTCCATGACCAGCTCAACTTGGCTCACATTTTCATCAAAATCCATATAGTTTGAGACAACGTGGATATTGGGGTGGAAGACTTTGTTCTGCCGGATAATTTCTTCCAGGATGTCTCCAATGCCAGCAGAGAAGATGAAGAGAGGAACGCTGTGATGGTAAAGCGTGTTGAAGAACACTTTGTATCCCTCCCTGAAAAGAGCAATGAGTTACGCAATGGCAGAAACCCTGCCTCTGCTACTCTTGTTTTCGCCTCGGGTTACACATTCATATTTTTGAAATTTTCTTTTAATTGAGCTCTGGTAGCGTAGTGGTTACGAATCGGGCTGCGAACCTTAAGGTCAGCGGTTCGAAACTACCAGTCGCTCCGCAGGAGAAAGATGAGGCTTTCTACTCCCGTAAAGATTTACACCCTCGGAAACCCTGTACAGGGTCGCTATGGGTCGGACACGACTCGATGGCACTTAACAACAACAACAACAACAAAGTACATACAATAAAGTGGACAAAGTGTCCTAATCTTCAGTGTCAGATCAAGCAACATTTTTCCCCCATTAAAAAACCATTTATATGAGCCCAAAAGGTGAACAATTACTCTAAAGCACAGATGAGAAGCTAACAGTTACGACAGGGAAACTAGAGTACCGGAGAAGGGCCAACTAGAAGGCAATGAAGGAGAGCTGTGACACGCTGTGAAGAATGGAATTAATGGCACTGAATGATGTGTGCAGAAGCTGTCAAATGGTCATCTAATTTGCTGTGTAAATTTTCACTGAAAACAGTAAAATTATTTTTTTCTAAGTTGTTTGCTTTAAAGTCTAATTAAAAAAACTTTTTATTGTGAATTGAAGGTTTACAGAGCAGATCATTAGTTTTACATTTAACAAATCATACTTTGCTTCACTGCATAGTGGCAATCCCCTCCATGTACCAACAGTTCATAATATTTACCTCTGTTCACTTTAACTATTGCATTCCTTCCTGTGTCTCCCGCTACCTTCATCCTTCCTTCTCTGCTAACCTCCCTCTTGTATATTGCCTACCCTGTCACCCATGTTAACATGTGTGTACCCTCTAGCCCATGAAAAGTTTTCCCTCCATGTTCCCTCCCCCATAACCAACATAGTTTCTTTTATCAAGAAAGCCTTTTTTTTTTTTTAAACTTTTTACATTATGGTCTCATACAATGTTTGTCCTTTTGTGATTGACTAATTTCACTCAACACGTCCTCCAGGTTCAACCATGTTGTGAGGTGTTTGACAGATTCATTATTCTTCAACATTTTGTAGTATTCCATTGTATGTACATGTCTGTTTGACCATTTATCTGTTGACAGGCATTTAGGCTGTTCCTATCTTTTTGATAGATCTCTTATAAACAGCATATTGTTTATCCCCTCTGCTATTTGTGTTTCTTGACTGGTACATTTAGTCCAATTACATTCAGTGTAGTTATCAACAGGTATGAATTAATTGTCATTTTTCTGTGGGTTTTTTTGTGGTGCCGCTGGATTCTTTGTTCCACACAATTTTCTATGCTGAGTTCATTGTTTGTGGGTTTTAGCATTTTAATTTCTGTTGTTTTACTGTTTACTAAATCTTTCTGATTTTCCTTTTTTTACTTTGATGTGCAGGTGAATTATTGTTTTCTGAGGTTATACCCTGGAATTCATTATTTTTCCCCTGCTTAAAAGTCTGTTTTATTTTGAAATCTACTTGACTTCCTTGCCTTTTGGAAGTTCTGTATCTATACCATTCCCTTTTTGCTTTGTAGTTGACTTCATTATATATTCATAGCTCTGGTTCCCTAGTTTCATTCTTGTAGGTTTGTTTTACTTTAAATCCTTCTATATCTAGATTGAGTTCTGGGAGGTGTTGTCTTTCTGGTCATCTCAAGGTCCTTGTCTGCTGTTGTTGGTTCTCAGTTCAAAGAACACCCTTAGCATTGTTTACAAAGCTGGTCTGGTCATTACAAATTCCTTTAATTTCGGTTTATCAGGAAATGTCCTAATTTCATCGTCATATTTGAGGGACAGCTTTGCTGGGTATATGATTCTTAGTTGGCAATTTTTTTTTTTGAGAGTATTGTATATGAGATCAATTAACTTTTCCATTTGTTTATATTTTCCATGTAATCATTACCCAGGTCAAAGTTCCCTCAGATTCCTTCCCAGCAAATACCAGCAGCTCTATTCTGACTTCCTGCTGCCACTGATTTTTTTTGCCTCCCCTTAACTTCAGTGAGATGGGCTCATCATCAAACTCTTTTGTACTTGCCCATGTGTGCATTTACCAAGCATTCATTCTTTGTAACTGCTATGTAGTATTCTACTACAGGAACAAGACACAATTTGTCTATTTTCTGTTCAGATGCTACCAGACTTCCGCTATCATGACTAGAGCTGCTGTATATGTCTTACACAATGTGCAGTCTATGCTGAACTTGTATATGGTTATATGTACTCATTTCCCTTGGGCAGAGGGCAGGCATGTTTCTGCTACTGCTCATAGAACTAGGCATCGATCCTGGAGTTCCTTCACTGAGGGCACCCCTCCAGCCTCTTTCCCCAATTAGGGTCCACAATCCTTGGGAAGAACCATACAGACAACTTCCTTTATGGGTCCCATCTTCCTCCAGTAGAGGGCTGTGCAGGAGAGATGCTCAGGAAGGTCACTGACGATCAAGGGTCCCAGTCTAGGCAACTCCCAGGTCTGGATAAAAAACCCCTAGTCACCATGTTGTAATTATTGTTGTGGGCTGCCATTGAGTTCAGTCCAACTCATGGTGAGCCCATGTGTGCAGAGCGGAACTGCTCACAGGGTTTTCAAGGCTGTGACCGGGCAGAAGCAGAAAGCCAAGCCAGTCTTTAGGGTCCCTCTGGGTGGGTTCAAACTACCAACCTTTTGATTAGTAACTGAGCACTTAACCATTTGAGCCACTGAGAACCCTGAGAGCCTTTGCACTATTGTGAGGAAAGAGCCTAGCCTCCATGTCAGATGAAGCCCTGGCCAGATGGATGCACTAGGTCCACTGCTGGCAGACTACTTCCTATGGGTCCCCAGGGAGAAAACCCTTGGGTTGTACACAGAGAGCAAAAGCAAGCTCTGTTCACATGAGTACCTTGTGTTGCCATGTCCCTTCCAACCTCTCCCAGCAACTCTCCCTCACCACCCTGCCCCAGCCTCCTAATCTGTAAGTAAAACAGCTTTTAACAGTCTGCCAGGACCGTTTCCCAAAGCAAAAGCTTACCGAAGCATTGCACCAGAGTCTTTCACCACCTGGGTAATCTGAAACTTCTGAATTTTCTGCTGACACAGAAGATCATGGGCTTTGGTCCACCTAGAAGCAAATATCCCACAAAGCCCCAGATTCAAACCACTGAAGTAAATAAAGTGTCCTTTCCTTTTATGGAGCTAAGACCCCTCTGTAGGTTATTGACAAAGGAGGCCTCATCCTTTTCACAGAGCCATTTCCTGAAGGGATGTGGCTCTCCTGAAAAGGAAGTTTGTAAAGCAACACAACGAAGAGGCAAGAGGGTGACTTGCTCTTCTGTGTCCTTCCTCTGGAGAAGTGGGGCTCAGACCACTGATGCTGCTTTCTACGGGAGGGCGATTTCTCCAAACCAAAGAACCTCAAACTTCTGCCAGGGATTCGCCAGCAGTCATATTAAGCCCTGGAGTCCTGGTGTGGCGCTGTGGGTTAATGTGCCAGACTGCAAAGCCATTTGAACTGCAAGGTTGGTGGCTCTGGGTCAGAGTCAACTCAACGGCTATTAACAACAACAACAACAACATATCTGGGTAGTTTGTTATAATTGCTGGACTACTGACATTCAATAATTGAGCCTAAGCCCTTAGCAAAGTATTAAGGGAAGCTGCTTATCTTATCAAAGCTCAGGGGTAAAAAGTCCCACAGGTAAAAAGTCCTAATCCTGAAGGGTCCAGTTCTCTTCACCACCATCACTCACCATTCAACCATATGAGGTAACTTCTCTTTGCAAGTCCGCTCTGGGTCGATCTCAATTGGGTAATAGTGGTGAAGCAGTGCCTTCAGCTGGGACATCCAGATGAAGAGAAAAGCCATTAGTCCATGTCACGTCTCCCCCACCAAAGACCTAAGTTTAATGTTTTGTTTTAAAAAAGTCATTTCAAAGAAGTGTAAGTTTTCTTGAAATTTTTATTTAGGGACACATGACCTCTAAGAATCAAGTTTCTCCTCTTATCATCTTCCACCATAACTGGGCAAAGGTTCTCATTGACCCATTTGATAAAGTCCAGAGAGTGACTTATCTGTAGTGTTGGTCATTCCTTTGCACCCACCCTGAGAGAGTAAGGACTAAGAGTCAACAATCTAGAGAGCTTCCCCCTCAGAGAAGAACTTGTTATTGTGACAAATTCACTTAGTCATCAGGGCTTAATCAGCAAGAACCATTAAGAACTGATTAACCTGCAAGAACTACTTTACTTCCCAAAATGTGGCTTACTCTCTCAGGTGACAGGCAAGATGATTTTAGAAGATACATGGATAAACACTTTTGCTTTCTTTGTTTAAGATTCATTTTAATGTACATCAGAAAGAAGAAAAATAGTTCCTCCAACACGATTTCATAAAAAAGATTCTTCTTTTGTAAGTTAATTACATTCAAATCATTAAAAGTAAGCCAATTTAGGAGTGTAGGGGACGAGTTTATAGGGTATACCCTTTGGTCGATTGATCATGCATGGAGGGGATTGGAACCATGGCAATGAGATGATATACGATGGAATGAATGTAAAACTAAAGTTCTCTCATGTAAAATATCATATAATTCACAATAAAACATTAAAAAAAAAAGTAAGCCAATTTAAAGGAAAAAAATTATCACTTTCATTCACCCCTTGGAGTTGCACCAATGACATTAAAATCTCCTATAAACTCCATTGCAACAGTCAAAAGAGTGTCCATAGTATCATCATTGATCATGTCTTGGTCATAAGGAAAGGCTGAGCATTAGCAAGAATACTAATAAACCAGTTGTCTAACATCTCTCTTTCCTGGAAATTGCTGGTCTTAAGCAGGGTCTCTGTGGAGTCACCTCTTAACAAAGAAGGGGAGGAACACACCTCTTTCTGGCAGGCTTCACTGATGATCTTGCTGTTATCCAAAATATCTGGAAAAACATAAAATTCCTGTGTCTTGCTTCTCAGAAGCCATCATTTTGACAAACCCAACAAGGCAAGCTAATGTGGAACTTACTGTAAGAAGAAGGACATCTCTTTCCATTATAAGAAAATCTGCTCAAAGTCATGTCAAAATCAGAAATAACCTAAAATGAAAAGGCAAGAAGTTGCCTAGACATGGTCCATCTTGCAGACCTGACCTGAGTGGGGAAACTAGTGATAATCTAAAGGCAAAGTCCTGGGGGAGTTGGGGAGGGAGGAATGGTAAGGAAAAACGAATCCAAGTATACCAGTTACCATAAAGTGTTAGCTCTAAGGAAGACCTGTCTCTCCCAGATGGTGGGGAGCTGAAGAACAGGGGTTCTCCTGACTCTTTCGGTTGCACCCACAATAATACCTCGGGTCCTTCCTTCAGACTCAGCTGCACTTTAGCAAATTCTCCTTAGGGCGCAGCTGGCCTGGGCTAGTTGCAAGATAAAGTCCCATATGCTAGTATGAAGTGCTTTCTGTCTAATTAGAGACAGTGGCCATAACCTTCATGAGAAATCCGAAATTCAATCTTGGTTTGGGGACAGAGGAGCTCTTCCCACAAGACACAATACACAGCCAGACTCCTTGTTCTCTGGCCCCTGGCCAAGGTGGCAGGAAACCCCCATAGCCCCCCTTCCTCAATCCCACCAGGCTCATTTTCCACTGTCGGACCCTCCAGCCCGTAGTACCTGCAGCCGGTCTCCCCCGCCCCTGCGGAGGGCGCTCACGATCTCCTGCACCCGTCCGGGCTGCCGCATCAAGACCGTGGCCTTCATCAGGGTGCTTACCTGTCCCGAGATCCAAGAGAACCACTGAACCTGGCACCGGGTTCGGCCTACAGGGGAACCCGGGCTCGCTCGAGCACCTTTGCGAGGCCAGGTTGGGGGGTGCGAGGGGACGGAGGGCACCGGCTGAGCCTGGGGAGGCTACAGGCCGGGGTGGCGCGCCGGAACTGGGTCGATCTGCTGGGGGACTCTGAGGATCCCAAGGATTGGGGTTTCGAGCACCCCAGGGATCGGGCCCGCTCCATCCTGGACCCTTCTTCCCGCCTCACCTCGTCCGCCATCACGCTCGCGGCTTATTCGGCAATGCCAAGACTATGACCGCCCAGTGGCCGGACTGCGCAGGCGTCGACTCCATGTGGGGCGGGAATTGGGGGGCGGGGGTCGAGATTTTGGCGCCTCTGGAGGGTGGTTGTGCTGTGCACAAAGAAACGGGTTAAGTAAGAGTCTTATTTTGAGGCGCGTGAAGGTCTCAAGGAGTTGGGGTTTTGTGGGAGAACTGGGTTATCAAGTGATGTTGGATGAGTTCCTGCCACTCCTGGAGCAAAAACCCTGGAAAGAGTGTCCATGCCCAAGATTAAAAGTTGCAATGCAAAGAAAACCACGCAGCTTGAGAGGCATATGAAAGAACCATCTAGTAAATTCTATTAAACATTCAGAAGGTGGTTCTGTAACTGGGCCCACTGCTCATCACAGAAGAAAATGAGTGACTAACACACGTAGTGGGTAAGAAGACCTTGGACAACTGGGCCAAAATGAAACGCAAGCCATTTTACTTTTCCCTTCTGCCTCCTGTGACTTGGATTTCCTTGAGCTCAGTCAGGAGACCCAAGTTTATAACCGTCCGAGGTAGAGGGATGCTATAAGGATACAGAGCACAGTGTGAGTTGGACAACAGGAACTAGAATGCATAAAAGCTCTTATGTGACTTTGGGGAGTCCTGGTGTGGTGCTGTGGGATAAAGCACTGGACCACAAGGTCAATTTGAATGACAAGATCGGCAGTTCAAACTCACCAGCCACTCCTTGGAAATCATACACAGGGTTGCTATGAGTCAGAACTGAGTTGACAGCACTTAACAACAACATGTGAATTTGGTGATCACTGTTCTGCTCTGGATTTCAGGACATGCAAGGAGATGTTGGGTGGTCTTCAGCCTGAGTGATGTGATGGGGGAGGGGAAAGGGAAGAGGGCAGGGACAGGGAGAGTGTTCCAGAACCTGAGAGCACAATCCCGAGCATGATCTCACTGCGGGTCCAAGATTCTGGAACTTGTACTGTCCTGGGTCCTATTTGAAAGATGTAGTAGGGAAAAGGAGCGACAGCTGGCTAAAGGGCCCCCCCCACGAGCATCCCCGACACCCTTGGAGAGCAGCCTCTCTCCGCTGAGCCCAGGGTGCTATGGAGATGGAAAGCACAGCGGCCTCCACGCGTTTCCAGCAGCCTCACATGGAGAGGAAGATGAGCGCCATGACCTGTGAGATCTTCAACGAGCTTAGGCTAGAGGGCAAGCTCTGCGACGTGCTCATCAAGGTCAATGGCTTTGAGTTCAATGCCCACAAGAACATCCTCTGTAGCTGCAGTTCCTACTTTAGGTATAACAGGGGCGCCGAACGAAGTTTAGGGGTAATCGGGCTCGTTTTGAGAGAGAGTTTGATTCATTTTGTTTCCCATTCTACCATCTTAAGTTCATGGACACTATCAAAGCTCTGGGCTTCTGTAAGCATGATTTCTTTGTCTTCTGAAGAGGCATGACTAGAGCTGAAAGCTCCTCTCTGATTATCAACTGGATTTCAACCACCTACTGATGGGCTATAGAGTCCTGGTGTGGCACTGTACAGTAAGCACTGGAACACAAGGCCCATTTGAACTCCAAGGTTGGTGGTTCAAACCCACCAGTCACTCCTTGGAAACCATATACAGGGTTGCTATGAGTCAGAACCGACTCAATGGCACTTAGCAACAACATTGATGGACCAGGTCCTTTTTTCTTTGATTCCACCCAAACGTACCACTTTTGGAAAGGTTGGACACTCAGATGTCCTACTTAAACTCAGATGAATTTGATATTTCAGCCACCCTTTATGCCCCATCCTAGGAGACAGTATTTCAAAGCAGGTGATAAATTAACAAGGATTGGAAGATAAGATGTAAGCTAAGGGGGAAAAATCAATTAAATACTTATCAGAAAGGGAGTTTTGAACAAAAGAACGGTGACTCAGAAAGTGAAAGGGCTATTTGTATTCACAAGCTGAAACTATTTGAGTAATCAATTCCAGTGAAGGTATGATACATGTGTGGTACCTGTTGTTAAAATTTTCATTCAACTAAATTCTAGAGCAGGGGCTGTGAAAGGAACCGATGAATATTTTCAGCTTTGCAGGCTGTAAGGTCTCTGCAACTTTCCACCTCTCCTGTTGTAGTGCGAAAGCTGTCATGATGCTGCTGTTGGTTGCATAGAGTTGATTCCAGCTCATGGCGACCTCACATGAAAATAGAAGTGTACCACAGGGCTTCCTGGACCATCATGCAGCTCGGCAGGTCTTTCTCCCTTGGAGTTGCTGAGTATTTGGCGCATCAACCTTTCAGTTAGCATCTGTGCATATAACATTGTGCTACCTGGGTTCCTTAAAGCCACCATCCTTCCCCAAGCCCACTGCCATCAAGTCGATTCTGACTCTTCCTCACCCTAGAGGGCAGAGTAAAATTGCTCCATAGGGTGTCCTTTCCCAGGGAGCGGCGGGTACGTTTAAACTACCACCTTCGCTTATCAGTCCAATACTTAACCCACTGTGCCACCATGGCCTCCTTAAAACAGTCACAGACAATGCTGAAAGAATTAGGCATGGTAGTGTTCCAATAAAACTATTCAAGGACTCTGAAATTTGAATTTAGGCTGATGTGTAATTTTCACGTGTCAAAATATTTTTTTTATTTTTCAACCACTTAAAATGTAAAACCATTCTTGTGTGTGGTGAGAGAAAAAAAAGAGGTGGGCCATATTTGGTTCACAAGCTGTATAGGTTTATAGACCCCTGATCTACAGGAAGAATTTGATCTCTAAGCTCATATTCCCTTTAACTGCTTAGAAAAATGAAGCCAAATATATACCAGTGCTGGTTCTTCTATCTTGTACAGCACTTTAAAAAATGTGTAGGCATATTTGTTGTTGTTAAGAGCTGTCGAGTTGATTCTGACACGTAGCGACCCTATGTAGGGTTTCCAAGGAGTGACTGGTGAGCTTGAGCTGCCAACTTTGTATTTCAGACTGACTTTGCAGTCCAGCACACTAACCCACAGCACCACACCTAGACTCTGCCTAGGCACACAGCTGTTGTTAAATGTCGATGAGTTGGTTCCAACTCATAGTGATCCTTTGTAGGGTTTCCCAGGAGCAAATGGTGTGTTTGAACCACCGACCTTGGGGTTAGCAGTTCAGTGTTTATCCTATAGCACCATACCAGGACTCCAGGGACATAGCTTGTTGCTGTTGAGTGGGTTCTGACCCATAGGTGACCCTGGAAAGGACTTCTTAGGAGCAGCTGGTGAGCTTGAAACATGAACCTTGCAGTTCAAACAGCTTTGCAGTCTGACGCATTAACACACAGTGCCACACACCAGGACTCCGGGCACATAGCAGGAGCCTGATAAATAGTTGTAGAATGGTATTCATTTATTCACTCAATAAATATTTGACTGCCGATTTTATGGCAAGCACTGTTCTGGGTACTGAAAATAAATTTTAAAAATATATTAAAATCCCTGCTTCCATTCTATTAGGGGGAACAGGCATTAAATAATAAGTAAAATATATATCAGATCATCGTAAGTACTAGGGGAAAAAAGGGAACACAGGAAGTGGTAAGTGACAATTTTAAGTAGAGTTGTCATCCCCTTGCTAACAAAGTTACATTTGAGCAAAGAATGAAAGGGGATGAGGAGGTGAGAACTATGGCCATCTGGTGGAGTCTTCCAGGCAGAGGAGAGAAATTAGAAAGGACCAAAGATGGAAGGATCTGCAGTGTATTCAGGAGACAGGAAGCAAGTCAATAGGGTCATCGCAGAGTGAGGGGAGAGGTGGAAGTATGGTCTGAGAGGTAAGCACTAGTGGTCCAAATCGAAGTGGGCTTTGTGTTTTATTCTGAGCAATGAGCACAGTGAAAGGATATAATTGAAAGAGCTACATAGCCTTTTATAGGAAGCAGATTGGCTGCTGAGATAAGACTACAAACTCTGGAGGTGTCAAGGACACAGCATGGAGATCAGTTAGGAGGTTACTCCAAATAGTCTCAGCAAGAGATGGTGCTGGGGCTTAGACCAAGGAGGTAGTAGTAAAAGAAATACGAAAAAGTGATCAGATTCTGGATGGGATACAAGATAGTTATTAAACAAATGCACAAGTTTAACTTACTTAAGCAAGGGAGAATTTAGTGAGCAATGGGTTAGAACAGAAGAGACCTGGGCCCTAGTCCCAACTCTAAATCTCCATTTCTCCAGTCACAAAATGGGAACAAGACCTCGTTATCATGCGGATAAGGTAAGTATGACAGAAGTCAAAGTTGTTTGAAGGATTATCTTCTTGCCCACTGTATAAAGCATGTAGCCTTCCCCTCCCTTCTTTAGGTCAGTTGATTTCCAGCACACTCCCTATGCACTGTTACAGAGGTGTATGGGAGAACATGGCAAATAAGAAAGAAATGTTTCTGTGGCTGATAGCTTCTTTCTTTTTTCCTCAGAGCTTTGTTTACAAGTGGCTGGAACAACACTGAAAAGAAGGTCTATAGCATTCCTGGCATTTCCCCTGACATGATGAAGCTAATTATTGAATATGCGTACACCAGGACTGTTCCTATCACACCAGACAACGTCGAGAAGCTGCTGGCTGCTGCAGACCAATTTAACATCATGGGTATCGTCAGGGGTTGCTGTGAGTTCCTCAAGTCGGAGCTGTGTTTGGATAATTGTATCGGCATCTGCAAGTTCACAGACTATTACTACTGCCCTGAACTGAG